CGAGTCACCGCGCCACAACGGACTGAAGCGCGCGCCGCGGTTTTCGAACGCAACGGCTATAATACTCATCACGCGAACTCACGCATCACGCAGGAAACTCACCCTGCCGCGCATGCGCGCATCTTCAAGCCGGGGGTACCTCACGCACAACTGCACGTGAATTCGCGAGAACTCATGCATTGCGCAGGAAACTAGATTTGCCCAAGCAAAACTCATTTCCGACTCAGTTCGAATTCACGAAACTAAGCACTCAGAACTCACGCATAACGAAGTCACCCTGGTGATGTGAGTTAGATCAGCCAATAAGTGAGCACCACTATCGTATTCACTGAGTTTCTTCATGAGTTATTACTGAGTAATGCCTGGCCTGAGTAAAAATTTTTTTCAGTGTATACTTCGTATTTTGCAACACCTAGTAAATCATGCATGAACAGGACGTTACATTTTAGACTGACGCCCCTGTCACTAGCTGACAATGGCGCCCCTCTCAAGGGAAAAAGTCGCCCCCTCGAGCACCATGGCCCCCCCTTTCGCTGATTTCTGGCTACGCCACTGCCTATGACGTCATAAGTAAGCCTCTGCACGATCTTGAAATGTCGCACTTTCGCAACGCCCTCAGTGCCAGAGGAGCTTTCACAGGGAGATTACACTTACAGGACCAAGTATCCTGGAAAAGTCTCACGACTTTTAGACCTCTGATTCTGACACGTGACCTCACCATTATAAGTCGAAGAGTGAAATATGGAAACTTAGGTATTTTAGTGCCGGGAATGAGCTTAACTGTTTCAAGCACACACATTTGTGATTGCATGCACTCCTCGCAAGATTCGATGATTCGCTTTTGCATTATTGACCTTGCGTAACACTAAGGTCATATGAAGTTTTCGTCAATAACTCCCGATCTAATTGAGCTAGCGAGTCGGGAAAGCCAAGCCACCAATGGACTTTGACAGACATGCCGGGTCGAATGGTATGCTATGTGACCTCCCTCGACCAGCTTCGTGACCTGATGGGTTCTGACCTGACATTGACCCGAGGTCAACACATTAAGCTGACCTCATCGAGCATAAATTATACCATTCGACCGACGCACCTGAGCATGGAGAACACGATGGTGCCAAAGTTGCGGCTCTGATACCGTTTTTGGCGAAGTTATTTACCTTTATAATACAATATTGCATGTAAAGTAGTGTGATGTGCTTAATTTTATTTATACGTATGATTTAGGAAGGTACACATATGTATCTGACTGTTCCATCCATGCTATTCAGGGGCTGTTCCTAGAGAGCTTGTTCATTAGGAAATGCGGATCCGAAATGCAAAGCATTAATTATTAATTGATTCACCTGTCGCGACGTATTACGTAAGGCAACCGGAAATGTTCACGAAGGAACCGAAATTATATAGCACCAAAGTGTGTGCAAGCAGGAACATAACATAAAAGAATCACATTTCATCAACCTTGCGCCCTCCATGCCATGGCCCGATATTATTTCACTCATAGAGCTCTCGCTACTACTCGTACTACTTGTAAGTGTCGCGTTAGTGCCATGTAATGATCTCGATCTGGGTTCTGTCTCGCAATGGATCGGTCTCGGTTGTATTGTAAATCAATGCACCCAGTGTGGGGGTCATTGCCACCCGCATGGGCCGCAATGCGGACCCTGGCATCAACCCTCCGTGCCGGCACGTTGTAAGGAAGTGTCCCGGTCAATGCATACCGGGCACGGCGACGGCGGCTATTTCCAGTCGTGTTTACCGTCCCGCTGTCGGCTGTCGGGTTAAAAGGAAACGCTCGTCTGTTCATACCGAGATTCTGTTAGCCGTTGTGCTTTTCAGTCCGTAAAATGGGCATTAGAATTGGAAACGAGCAAATGTTTGTCATGCCGTCGGCAAACAAATCGCTGTTTTATTTTCATTTGATGTGAAGATCGCACTGCACGGTTTATTGTGGCACAGATTTAATGAGTCCATTCATTTAGTTAATATATTTTCAGGCTGTTTTCAACGTAGATACTCGGGGGCATTCATTTTTTTACTTATTTTTAGAAGGCATATTTTTGTCAATTTATTTGTACTTACATAGTAGTGTTTGAAGCTAACGAAGTTATTTGAAGTTATTTGCTCTTTATTTAGCGAGGTGTTCGTGGATCGCTGACAAAAAAAGGTTTCTGATTCGGAGCAATCATATCCCGTCTGCGATTGGAAGTTCTAAGCTTTTGTTTAATCTGAACATTCAATAGCACATTAGCCATGTGTCAGCAATGAATCGCTGGCAACTCTACATAGCACCTCTCCATCTCGATATGCCTCGTCACAGTTACTATAGCCGCGCCGCCGAGGGTCGTTTGTGTCACTCATGTTGCGTGTAGAGTGCTGTTGCGCCCCCACGGTCATGAGTGGGACCTGACAGACGGACGACTGACCTGACCAGCGGCCACCTGTCACACATGTCCTCTCGCCAGTGTGACAGGTGACTGTCTGAGCCTGTCACACTGACATCTCCAGGCGTCGACCTGAGTGATCAACTCAGCCAACACCCATGTATCTTATTCAGAGTCAACTGTGTGGTGGACTTCGTGCTCAGGTTTTGGCGGTCATCTGATAACGACCTAACGAGTCGGCCGGCGGGCGGACCGGCCCCCGCCCGGTCAGCTGACTCGACCTGCCGTGACCCCTGTGGGCTGGGCGGCCCTTTATGGTCGGTCAGTTTTTCACCCCTCCCCCGAATCTGTGGCGCCGGCGGGGGTGTGACAAATGGACTGTTGGGCGCTGGGTCGACCGATTAGCTAACAATCCAGTTGATAGCTGGTTCAGTGGCATAATAGCGGCATTCCACGAACTTGTTGCGAAGTTGCTTATTTATAGTTCTTGTGGACAGGGAGTGTCACGGTCATCTTCATTGAAATGCTGTTGCATTTTGGTTAATGACCTAGAAAAGGACTCTTGATTTGCCTAAGTAATGTAGGTCTTACTGGTCTTTTCGGCCATTCGGTTTCATCAGTAAACGTGTTTTGTCTGGTAGGTATTACGTGTTTTGTTTACGTTAACGTGTTCTAGCTATGCGATGAAACTGAAAGAAAGGCACATTTCGTTTCTCGCAGTGTTTTATATGGATGGATATGATAAAACTAATCTCGTTTTGAACACTTTACAGTAATACAACCTTTGATTCGTTTCATGGTTAGAACGACCTTCTCAAGGGATATTTTTAAAAAGCGCAAAATTGCACATTGTTCGATGTTCATTATTCTATTTTGTATGCCTACTTACCTGGCTCAGTACACAGCCTTATTAGAGCTGCATTCGCTGCAACATATTGTCGCAACTCCAGGTCCATAGGTGCGGGAACCGCGGGGCAGTGGGGGCGGCAGCTTGGCCCCCTCTCCCTATGTAACTCTGGGGCCGTGGGGGCGGTGCCGTCACAACTTTGAGACGGAATACCGCCCTTTTTTTGCAAATGTTTTCTTTTTTTGTTGAAAAAGCTGAGGGATGAAAAAAGTGGCCTAGAACCGATGCGAAAACTAGATTTGGGGGTACTCTAGGTTGATCTCTATTATAGTGTGCCCCCCCCCCCCAGTCTGAAAGTAGTTCCCGCGCTCCTGTCCAGATCTGGCGCTACTGGTGGCATAGCATGCAGATTTATTTCACCCAGTCCACGCCAACCACCCCACCAAAAACACGACCCTCACAGCCGCCGACCACGCCCGGATTGTAGCCGTTTGCGTGCTACCGCCGTCTCCAATTTATCCAAGTGGACCACTCTGCTAGGTCGGCTGGAGCACTGAGGTAGATTGCACGCAGTCGTGTCCCCCTGCTCCGTTCTCAGGCTTAGAAACACGCAACGACAACAACACATTATCCCGGCAGTTGCTGGGGTATTTCGCCACCCACCGTTTGCTGGGGGGGGGGGGGGCGTTAAACGCCCCCAGCCGATAACTCGAGAACCAATAGGCGCAGCGAAACGCACGAGGCGGCAAACGAAAGAACGCGACGAGACGCTTCAGATGAGTACTTAAAAGTTGAATTTTGAGGTCACAGGTCAGGTCAAGGTCAGGTCAAACACCTGAAATCGGGCTTTCAGTAGCATGGACTTCAGGACTTCGCAAAGGGCGAATCTCGTCATAAACTCTGTCAAAACGGTGCACAATCCATCATATAAGGCCTACAAGAGTGTCAGCTCCATGTAGGGGTCAGTCAAGCATAGGTCAGGGTCAAGGTCAGGTCAACCGGGCAGGCACATATTCCCGAAAATCAAAACTGATATTCGCAGCCTGTGACACATGTTTTATGGGTAATTTGGGGCGTAGAACACGATGGTGACATTCATTTTACCATATGTGTACGTGTTTGGCTAAAAAAGTTCAATTTAAGAAATGCATGTATCATGGTCGTGAAGTAGTCACGAGAAATTGCCAAGATTCAGTTCAAGATTTTGGAAAATGCCGAACGATAATCAATAATCGAAGATAGCCATTTGATTGTTCATGGTATTGGCAGTCTAATGGCGTTTACGGCATGTCTGTATGTCTATTCTGTGATATTTTATATGATTTTTTGAACATATGCCGTTTTTGGTCGAAAACTCAGAAATCATGACGTCACTAAAACCTCGATATCTCAAAAATTTCCCGACCGATTTTTTTGAAACTTTGTCACAATAAGCTTCAATCAATTCCTTACAGGTACGCAAAATTTGGCGCGCCTGCGGCGCGCCGTTTTTATGCTATGGCCCAGCGAAAAAAGTGGGGGCGTTTAACGCCCCCCCCAGCAACTCGCGGGTTATATAAAGCTGTTGTGTCTGCGATAATATATCAAGCTGTGATAGGTATGTATTATCTATCACTCTCTTTCTTGCAGATATTTAGAAAGTGCAGCAAATGATATCTGAAGTTTTATGATCGATTTTGTATTGATGTCGGACAAGTCGTCGCAACACATGGGCTTCGTGAGCCCTGAGGCGCTGCCAGCTCCGGTACTAACGTTGTGCACCCGGACAGGAGACGTACACCAACCTACTGCACCTGGAGCGAGTGCTGCGCTGTCAGCAGGAGTCTGCCCCGGCTCCGGAGGACGGGTCGGCTCCCGAGCAGCGCTGGCGTCGCCGCCGACGCTCCTTTCAGCTGGCCGCCGCCGGCGACGGTCTGAGCGAGCGGAGCGGCCCTCCACCCCCGGCAAACGGCGGTCCGACGGCCGTCGACGACACGGTACGTCAGGTTAGGTCAGAGGGGAGGGGACAGCGGGCCCCGGCCCTCCGCTGACGGCTGTACGACGGCTGTCGGCAACGACACGGTACGCCAGGTCAGGTCACAGGAAAGGGTAGGATACTCGTATTAGGGCAACAATGTAGCCGGGAACGTTACTGCTCAGGTCAGGGGGGGGGGGCAGGGGTTAAGCCGGCGAGAGGTGAACCGATGTTTTCTTCGTGCTTCACTTGATCCTTTTTTGTTAGTGTGTACCTGGTCAGGGACCAGTGGTCAGGCATTCGCAGCTTGCGACACTCATTCATTGTGTTGATAAGTTGACAATTGCATTAAATGCAATCAAAAGTGTGTAGCTTGGTATGTAGAAATTCGATTGCCCCAACCACCACGTCTATCTCTTCAGTAACATTCGTCGCTGTTTTACCGTCGTCGGCATGTCGCTGGAATGTCAGTCACACCCTTGTACGACTCATACATCAGTCGGAGGTATGCGGTCCGGTCCGTTCCCCGTATTTACCGACACCTGCCCAGTGTTCTCACGCCCCCACTCCCCTCCCCTTCCCCCTCAGACTTTCCTGGAGGGACATGTCACTGAACTGGGGCCTCCATCCCGCCCCTTTTCCATCCTATCCATGTCCTCAGGATTGCCTGTTCCTGAACTGGAATCTCCCAACTCCACCCTCTCCTCACAGGGCTGCCTGGAGAGTGGAGAGGCTTGCCACTGAGTCCCCCTCCCCCCCCCCCCCCCGCCTAACTCCTCATGGCCGCTCGGAGCGTCATGAGACCGCCCCCCCCCCCCACCTGACCTCTCAGGGTCACCTGTAGTGTCGTGTCACTGAGATAAAGTCCCCCCTCCCCCTCAGTCCCCTCAGGATCGGCTGGAGCGTCGAGTCACGGAGCTGGAGGCGGATGTGCGGAGGATTGACCAGGAGAAGGAGGAGATCCGTGTCAAATACACGACCGTTCTCAAACGGTGAGTAACGGGCGCACGATACGAGTGACTGGGTGATGCTGGTTATGGAGCTCCTCGTGGGTCTGTGTGGTGATCGTTTTCTGTCAATCAGTTCAATAGCTCCAACTCGATTCATCAGCATATTCACCAATCGTAAACCACTAATCCGTTCATCCACAAATCACAACTCGTTTGTGATAGCCTGCCACCCCGACCCTCCAGCTGCCACAACGCCAGCACCGCCCACACCGTAAACAAAACCTGAGGCCAATGCTACTAACCCTTCCACCCACCGTCGGCCCCACGGCGAGCGTCACGCAACTGACAGCTTCTTCACTGACTCGGACCGGCCCTAATGATAGCGCCACAAACACTCAGAGGTGGACGGCTAGGGTTGGCAGAGTGCGTGTCGCTGCTGACAGACTGATGGCGGCTGGGTGGCTACGGTTGAAATCAGACTGTCGGTGGGGTAGGCTGGCAGTCGAGATGATGTGTTATTTGTGGTTGAATATCTGATGATGGGAAAGGAGGAAGTTTGGGGTGAAAGTTCCGGTATTCGCTATTTGAGCGTATGATGGCTGTGAGACATTGTATGATTACCGTCTATGTTGTGTGTGTGTTTTTTTTTTTCAGGTTGCGGAGACTACAGGTGTCCAGCTCGGAAAACTGGGATGTCAAGTCACCGCCAGTGAGTAGTGCATAATCCAAAGGCGAGCTGCTGATCATGCTTACTTAATGATGACAAACTCTGCAGCATTGCGGGACGTCAGACTAGATTCTATTGATTGCCGGTTGTTAATGTCACACCACTTGGTGATGACGGAAACTACACGTCTTGTAGCATGAGAATAATCCTCCCCAAACGAACCGAAAGTCTCCGAAAGAGTATAGTTTAGCCCACCATCAAACACTGTCCAACAAACGATTACCAGACTGACACTATCGGGACAGTCCTTTGCGTGTCTCCGCTACATCCATGGCGTGTGGCACCCAGTTTTTGTCGCCTGTTCCACACTCGCGAATTCCGTGTCATATCCCGTGTCTCTCTCTCACCCTCCCTCCCTTATGTCTCTGTCTCCCTCAGTGCACCCGTCTGTGTTCCAGAGCACGGTCGGGGACGGCAGTAGTCCGGCGGTTCCCCCATGGTCGCCCGCCGACCGGCCCCAATGGGTCGGTAACGGGGCGATCTCTCGGACCAGTACAGTCAGCGCCGGCAGCTCTGGAGGTGATGGGTCTCTCCAGCTGGCCAACGGGCCGTGGCGAGGCAGTGGTGAGATGTCCCCGCCGCGACCGGGAGCTACCCAGCAGCTGTGTCCATCAGAGGGCGAAGGAAGACTGGGAGTGACTGCTGGGACTGTGGAGCGGACGGAGGGTGTGAGGAGAAGTGACGACAGACCCCGCAGTCCTAAACAGACGGACGGTGCGCCGCCGAGCGGTCGACTGCGGTCGGACGGGGACCCTCTCTCCGGGAGCACCTCCCGCAGTGGAGGAGGGTCACCCGTACCCCGCTCTACCGGCCTCACCTCCGATGGTGGCGCCGCGCCTGCCGACTCGGTGTTTGACGGGTCGCACGCCGCTCACGAGACCGCGGACTCAAACCTACCCTCGGAGTCGCACTCGGACTTTGCCGGCGGGGAGAGCTCGTGTGGTGATCCTGGTGACTGTTCGGCTACCGTGTCCTCTACCCACCCTGGTAGAGACTCGCCTCCACATTGTGGCGTTGGTTCTACCAACTCTGGTATTGGCTCCGACCGGCCCGGATCCACCGGACACGTTGTTGCTGAATACAATTCCGAGCGGCCCGGCTCTGGGAAAACCGTGCATAGTTCTACCGGGAACAGTCCTACTGGACGCAGGTCTACCGAACACAGCTCCGCCGCACAAAGCCGTGCCGCACGAAGCTCTGCCGCACAAAGCCCTGCCGCACAAAGCCCTGCCGCACAAAGCCCTGCCGCACACAGATCCGCCGCACACAGCCCTACCGCACACAGTCCTGCCGGAGACAGCCTTTCCGGCCATAGTTTTGGGATAATCGAACGTAGCCCCACCGGACACAACTCTGCCAGGCGCCGGTCGTCTCGGCCCGGCTCAAGTCACTCCACACCAGTCACAGTCGGCCGGTCCGGCTCGTCTGGGGCGGTCGAAGGGTCGGCCACCAGCCCCGCGGCCGTCTTGGGTCGGTCGTCTTCCCACCCAGTCGCTACGACGCATAACAGTGAGAGATTGCAGAACCCAGCTGTAGATGTGTCGTCGGGCTTCTCGCAGTGGTTCGCCGGGGAGGAAGTAGTAACGACTGAGGGCGGAAGTCGTGAGGCTGTGGAAGACCAGATAAGAAGGCTCTCTGAGGCTGGACTCTCGCCTTCTCGAAGGCCATTGCTACACTCGGGTGGAGAAGCCAATGTCTCCACAGAAAACTCTCACGGTTCTCCAGTGCTATCTGAGACCAGTGATACTGCTCAGGAGTCCATCTCTGAGGAGATTCCTGTCCCTGGCTCCCCGCCAATGCACCAGCCGCCGCCCCGCCCGGCCTCGCCGAAAGAAGACGCCGTACCACACGATGGTGGCGACACCTATACTGGTGGTGGTGGCGACATCTGTGGCAGTTTCCGAGGCTGGCCGACAGGCAGCGGCTCGCCCCCGCTTCTGTCGCCTCTGGTGGTGTTCGCTCGACCTCCCGACCAGACAGACGGCGTGAAGTCGCTCTGTGAGGTGACTGATTCCGCCACACAGACGGAGACGGAGCACCGGAGTGACGCTGAGGTGAGTGTGACGGTGGGGAAGGGCGAGATTGGGTGTAAACGTAACGACGACGGACTGGGAGAAATCAATGTTCTAGGACGATGCACTGGTATGCCTGAGATCCACACCTTTTTTGCATTACGTGGATCATTGAAATTTATAAAGGTAAGAAATTATGGTAACTGATACTTACATATCGGTTACTATATATTTCGTTAGTACCTATGACGATTAGGAAAGTAATCTCACCTCTGACTCCCTTTATTCATCCCCAGACGATCGCTGCACTGGAGGCGACCCTCCGACGCAAGGACTCAGTGATCGCCACGATGCAGTCGAACCTGGCCAAGGTGGAGAGGCAGCTGGTGGGCACGCGTCAGCAGCTGCAGACCATCGAGGCGGACGTACTGCGCCGACTGGAGGAGGCCGAGCAGAGCTGGCAGCGAAAACGCAGGCAGCTGCAGGTGCGTACACGGTACAGGGGACATTTGAGGGGGGGGGGGGGGTACACTGGAGGAGTGGGACTGTAGGAGGCCGAGCAGAGCTGGCGGCGAAAACGCAGGCAGCTGCAGGTGCGCGTACAGCTCGGGAGGGGGTAGGGTCTATCTATACACCAGAGGGTGGGAGGGGACGTTTCGTACACTGTAGAGTGGGGGACGGTCCGTCTGGGAGTGGGAGCGCGTGCGTGTGTGTGTGTGGGGGGGGGGGAATATTCGTATACCGGAGGGATGGGAGTGGAGGACGGTCACAAGAGGCGACTATCGTGGGCCAGACTTCTACCGAAGAGTGGGTACTGGGTATGAGGGGGACGGTGCGACAGAAGGACTGTTCATGTGACTTCTGGCGAAGAAAGACAGGGCACTATCATATTCAGTATTCCTCTAAGTCGAAGAGAAACTAGAAATATCTTATTAAATCTGACACCTAACTGACTGGCTATGCCTCCCGCTCCTCGTCCGTCAGGTGGACCTGGCCGATGAGCGGGCCGTCAGTCAGACTCTGCACGCCGTGGAGGCGGACCTTACCGAGCAGCTGCGCCGCTGTCGCCGCCGCTGCGCCGAGCTAGAGGCCGGCCTCCCAGACCGCTCCGAGCGGGGCGCGGCGGCTGAGAGGGGAACGGAGACGCGCTGTCGGCGGAGCCGCAGCCGCCGGCTGGCCGTCCTCTGCCACCAGCTGACTGAGCACGTCGGCAGGCTGATGGCAGCACAGACGGTACGTAATAGCGTAACAGGCTGATGGCAGCTCAGACGGTACGTAGCAGCGTAACAGGCCGCCCAGACGGTACGTAACAACGTAACTGGCCGTCCTCTGCCACCAGCTGACAGAGCACGTCGGCAGGCTGATGGCAGCCCAGACGGTACGTAATAACGTAACAGACGTACGTAACGAGCTGTATAGGCTGTACTGTACTGACAGTGTCACAGGCTGATGGCAGCGCAGACGGTACGTAACAGCGTAACAGACGTACGTAACGGTCTGTACAGACTGTACTGACAGTGTAACAGGCTGATGGCGGCCCAGACGGTACGTAACAGCGTAACAGGCCGCCCAGACGGTGCGTAACAACGTAACTGGCCGTCCTCTGCCACCAGCTGACTGAGAACGTCGGCAGGCTGATGGCAGCCCAGACGGTACGTAACAGCGTAACAGTACGTAAAAACGTAATAGACTGATGGCAGCGCAGACGGTACGTAAATTAATAACGTAATAGCCCGTACAAACGGTGCGTAACAACGTGACACGGTGATGGCCACCCAGACGGTACGTAATTACGGTGCACGCTAATGGTAGCACAGATGTTACGCAACAACTTTACAAGCCGCCCAATCATACGTAAGGGCGTCATAGGCTGATGGCCGCTCGAACGGTACGTAACTATGTCAGAAGCTCCTAACGATTCGAAAGAACGTCCTAACTCCTAGGACACGAAATCGATCCATAAGTACCTACATACGTCACAGACCTCTCAAACGTCACGTAAGCACACGTCACAGCCGCTGATCACGAATGATGATACGGACACCACGTGACAGACTGTAGACGGTGCGTCTCATTTTACAATGCCGGTATATCATTACATACGCAGCGCTGCTATTTATAATAGTCGGTTGAGCATAGACGGTTCTGATAACAACGCAGGCTAAAACGTGACACTGGTGTGAGCGAGAGCGCTTAGGTAACACGCACTGCGTTGTGGCCGGATCGGTGATTAAAAATACAGTAGGCCGTGTCCGGACCGATATGGTTTAGCCATCGCGGCATTACGTAACAGCTAGTGGAACTTCCTCGCTATACGTCGGGCTCACGAATTATTCGCATCTCGGTTACGTAAGGCGGCTGATCTAGTCGGAACAACACCAGATTTCTGTCACTGCTTTCCTGTATTGCCTGTTTCCTGTGTGTTAGATAACTTCCCAGTGTACTGAAGTTTTCCAATGTCGATAGTTTGCGGCCTGAAAAGAGTTTCATTTTTTTGCCGCTGTTGACGCCAGCAAAGTCTCGGTCGGCCCGAACGAGCCGACGCTGTTTTTCTCAAAGTTGCCGGCTTTCTATTAGTTTCCGAGCGGCGAAGGTTGAGCCAAGGTTCGCACGGAGTTGCAGAGTGGAATAACAACAGCACGATGGAGTCTGGAGTGTGTTGAACGCGCCACTTCGCTTCGGTGGCTGTACACTGGGGAAGAGTCGTGGTATGTACATTTTCCAGAAAAGGTCTTACTGATGTTAGAATGCAACGAAAACGGTGGTTCGAAAAGTTGCCTGGGTCGTTGTAAACTGGAGGAAGCTTGACGCATTATCTGGTGGCATTGCCGGCCTTTGTTGAAGGCAACTATTGTGAATGAAACCTGTTGCAAAGTAATTACATCTCAAACCACAGCTCTGCCGAGTGTTATTATAATGCACCGCTCGTTCCTCTCGTGCTCGACATAGCACACCTTTCGCTAACGATGCCTCTCCCTTTCCTTCCCACAGCGTCTGACGGGCGAGCTACTCAGTACGCTGCAGCAGCTGTTCAGCCTGTTCACTGTACACAATCCAGCGGTAGCCGCGCCCTGCCAGGAGGCCACCCTCGCCACCCTGCCGCTCTGGCTGCCCTGGCTGGCCGCAGAGGCCCGGCTGGCCTGCCGCGACCGACAGCAGCGCCACCTGGACCCGGTGTCGCCGCCAGAGGCGCTGCCGTCGCCGCCGGTAGGTGGCGCGCCGCCGCACCTCTCAGCGCTGGTGAGGCAGGTGTGGGACGACATTGAGCGGCTGCGGAGACTCGATTTGGAGGAGCCGGCGAGTCTAGGAGAGGTAGAGGACAGACCTCCGCCGATTGAGGAGAGTATGGAGTGACTGGAATCTTCACGTGTTTAGCACTCGGCAGCACACCCTGAACTGAACTATCGTGGTTCGTAATGAAACAAAGAGATCCAGTATGGGTCTGCTGCTCCCACTGATAACCGTATGTACAGCAGCATCCGTCCATCGTGTCTGCACTCGCCCTTCCATCCTTGTGTATCCCTGCGGCCGTCAGGGATAGCCGTAGCAACTGTAGGTATGCAAGGAGTATCGGAGACGTATTCGTCCCCTTCTGAGTCTACCGTCCAGAGCAATCTCCGATTATATCCCGTGATTTGAGTGTCAGATGTGGTAACGAGCGTACAATATTTGACTGTCGATCCGTCCATTGAAGTGCAATCACTGTGCAGCCGGCCGGTCGTGTAGGCACAGCCGGAAGTCATGCATTCTAGCCAGGAAGCTGCCCTTTCGTCAACCGTTTTTACATATGTGTTTTACAAAGGCCAGAACCGTCTTGACATTTTTGTGTGGTCGTGCTATTGTTTATGTAGTTTCCGGTGACATTTTATGATGACGACATCGTGATGATTGTTATTATTTCCTTTCATATGATGTATTTTTACTAGTCAGTTAGAAGCGCTTAACTGTTCATAACAGTAAATCTACTTAATTGTTTTGATATTTTATTTATGAGCCTGTGTTCAGCTCGTCCATCGAATGTGAAGTCATTCCCCATTGTACCCATTGTCTAATAATGAGGTGAATGAACCCAATATGTGGTGTGTGCCGAAATACACTGGCATTGGTGACTCCTTTTCTGCCTGTTGCTGATACGGTTGGCAGCCTTTTTGCTCCCAGCGCTGGGAAAGGCGTCTTCAGAATCCCGTGTGGCTGGTGGGAAGTGGGAACTCGGCTATTCAGTTCTTTCAAGGGCGGAGTGCGGGTTTATTCATACGTATGTAGCCGTATTTATTCCCCTGAAGTAATTAGAGGACAGAAATTATATACCTTGCATGAGCTAACTTTTATTTTACTGTTAACTGTTCGCGATCCTACAATATAAAATACTTGGATCTTGCGATTTGCTCAATTTACCTTGTGTTCCGTGAATCACGCAAACACACCCCCACAAACAGACCATCCAGCACACTAACTGGACCCTTGCATTACAGCACACAAACGCTTCTAAATCACTCACGTCGTCTCTCATACCCCCGCTGGGCAGTCCCATTCCTCTGGCGTCCACGGTCAGCCAGAATGCAGTGGTCCGTGGTCCGTGGTCCATTCTCCATCGTCAATGGTCTGATGCCTGATGGACCGCGGAAGTCTGGTCCGACCGTGGTCTGTAGTATCCCGGCGGGCTGCAGTAATCTGTGATCCACAGTTCCCTTCGGTCTCAATAGTCTGCAGTAGTATTCGGCGGGCTGCAATGGTAGTGTCGATAGTGGTCGTGGTATCAGAGCACACAACCAGCTAACCACACTGCCAGCGCAACCACACCGTCTGATGGTTATCTGTTTCTCTGCGTCCCCGTGCTGGAGGCTGAAGCGGTGACTGCAGTATCGTCTCGAAGCTTGTGGTTGGGAAGCGCCTCTGCATGGTTTCAGCTAGACGAGAGCAATGCTGGCGACTCTGGCTTTTCTTCGATGGCGATACGTTTTGTGCTGGTAAAAAAGGATGTTCAGCAAACTGCGGAAAAAAGATGACATGCAAAAGAACGTCAGTAAGTGCGCCTAAATAAGCCATAAATGAACTTCTAGATAAATTCTACTAAATTTTACCCCACCGTCACAGATTGATGGAATAGCCCATCAGCATGAAAGGCCATACCCATTATTTTCCAGTCATGTTTCCGGTGCGGAGTTAGCTCAGCTCCCAACTGTGAAGTGACTTCACATAGCACGGGCTCAATGTCAGTGATGACGTCACACCACTCCAGCTGCCCCCTCCAGCAGCGCAGCTCTATATCCGGCGTCATCCGCCGTCATCCACTCTCTAAATCCACGTCATCAGTCGTCCCTCCACGGGAGATCCACAGGTACAGAGGTCAGGGAAGCAGTCCCGGTCGGCTGGAGTTGGACTGTGGTCGTGACGGGCAGCGTGACCGTGACTCGGCCTGCCGCCGTCACGGAGAGTGTGACGGTCCTCCGTGACGTGACGGTCACGGCCGCATGGAGTCACGGCAGTCGGGGTAACGGAACTGTTAGAGCTGACCGACAGCGATTTGTTACTGAGCTGGTGAAATGTTACTCTAGCTATCGCAATACCATCAAGCAATCCTGTAACCCAACGCCTGCTGCCTAAGACCTTCGCATACCCCATTCGGCAAATGACATTTCCGCCCCATTTCCATGCGGCATTCACTGGTGGGCAGCGCTGTCGCTGGAAATACCGTCGTGTGGGCGATCCGAGTGAGCAGCGATACCCCGTGGGTCGACTGAGACCCGAGACCTGCCACGTCTCGAGCTCAGCATCGCTCGATGGACTTCCCTATGGATATGACGCAGCGCCCGAACTGAGAGCAGAGTCGGCAGTCAGCTGACGCCACTTACCACTACGTCATCAGCGGCAGCCGGCGGCAGCGCGGCGCCGCCGTCAGGTGCCACCCCCCCCCCCCCCCCCTCCCGGAGCAGGTGGTGACGTCACAGAGCGGGTTCGCCGAACAGCCGTCGACACCCGGCCGGTTCATGATCGCATGGCCCTGGGCGTGCTGTGATCAATGGCGGTCGTGCGGTGCTCTGTCCGGTGGCGCTGAGGGGACGGGGTTCCAGAAACGTTCCATGTTGACGCGCCGGTGGCAGTAGTCGCTTATCATGCTGACTGCGGAGCCAGCCAGGCAGGCTGTGAGGTAGGGTCGCTGACTGGCGAGCTCTCACAGAGCTCTCTAGAGCTGAATCGTTTCAGGGGAAAGCAGATCACTGGAAAACCAGCCATCCTTTCAAATAACCTCTCAGTCTCCAGCCAGTCGTGTAACCTTCTGCACAGAGCGACTTACGATTTATGGCCGGTTCTCCGTATGACCTGGTGTGGGGAACCCTGGACAAAAATTACTGTTACGGCGATTACATCAGCGTAGCGGGAAGTGGAATGTAAGGACGGCGGACTTTTAATCATGAGGCATGTGAAGTAATCTTGGCTTCAAGGACATGTGTGTGGGCGTCCGTCCGCCCTTCGTGAGTAGCCTGTTGTGGCGGTTAGTTAGAGGGAAGACCCAAGTGACGCGGGTCTGCATATACCGTGTGCTGACTTTGGGCACGGAGACACAAGGTGCATACTTTTCATTGCACACAGCGAGTCAGCGACTGTTGGGCACAATTGTGTAGCTGCAGGTGTCCGCACCTGTCGCCAATTGAGGGAATAGGTACACAATAAAAAAAAATTACTGCCGAGAGGCGACAGCGATACTATCATTTCGTATTAGCTCATTCAAGCACTGCGGAACAGTATAACTTCAGGCGCTCGCCCATCAACGCCATCTATATGTAGAAATGTAAGCTCCACCACTCTCCCACGGCTAATGGTACGAATACGATTGCACCCGATCACCCCGACAGATTGTTATTCTTTTGTTCAAATCAACTCTAAAACAACGGCGTGGTCTCCAGCTGTATCTTAGAGTGCGTGCGTTCGACTCTGACAGCACGTTGCACAACCGGGCGTGTTTGGCCGCCGCGGCCAAGCGACTCTTTTGGCCCGACCTGCCCCGCCCGTGACAACCGACAGGTCGTTGCCCTTACCCTCCCCGACCGCGTATTGCCTCACTTGCAGAAGTCACGTGACAGTCGGGCTTCGGCAAAAGTTGCAACACAGCACGACATGTCGATCAGTCAAGTGCCGAGTTTTGACCGCTGAGCTGACGCTGAGGTGAGCTGGCACCGGCAACAGAGGAGGTGGCCGTCAGCCCGGCACCCCCCCCCCCCCGAGGGGGGGGCTTGTTGACGCCAAGAACTTCCAGCTCATCCCACTCTCTCCGTCCTCTTCACCCTCCTCTCTCCAGTCCCGGGCCGCTGCCGAGCCGCCCGTATCGACGCGTCGGCCCGGTTGCAGCGGGGGCGACGGCCCACACCGTCTGACCTTGCAAGGTCACTTACGCAAGTGCGTGTTTGTCGCGCACTTGGCCGGCTGCCAGCCAGCCGGGGGAGGGGAGGGGGCGATCACCGCAAGGGGTCACGGAAAGGTCGCCGGTGGGCGGAGCGAACAAAGAAACGGCAGCGAATTTATGTCAGCCCAGATAACACTTTGTTTGCAGAGAGCGTTGACCGAAGCGTGGCGAAACACGGAACGAACTCTGGAATATCTGGATGTTTTCAAAAACAGACGCGTTTTATGTGCAATCTAAGAGGATACAAGATGGCATCCCGTATTGTTTTCATGCAATAAGAATTAACCGTCCTCGCATTTGACACTCGGATTACAGCAATAATTTGCCAGAAGAGACGAGGAAATATTATCCATCGAATCGTTTATGTTGAGGACTGAGATATACTTTACCTAATCAAAACTAAAATGCGTCCTGTTGAATAGTACTTTTTACCAAGTTCGTCAGTCACCACAATAGAGAAATTCGCACTAACCACTGATGTTACTTGGTATAGAGCCAATAAAATGCGCAGCGGGCGCTCTGCGTGGCGAATGTTCGTAGTTGTGGCGCAGTTCAGATGCTCGCTCCGTCACGCTCACCTATCTGTGCCTCGCGGCGATCTGCGCCTAAACCCCGAGTGGTCCAGTCCAGTGAGCTGGAAGGACCGCCTCCAGGGTGGTGTTTCATTGGTGATAGCAGCACGCTGCTATTCTGCTGACGTCACACTTGTGGTAGTGTTGGAGCAATGGGGCTTGTTGACGTCTCCATGGAAACCCAATTTGACACGTGTAATAGCAGCGTGCTGCTATCACCGGTGAAACACCACCCAGGTGAAAATCCACAAAACCTGACTGACAAGTCATGCGACGGGCTGAGAGACCAGCTCACCATTCTGATTCGGGGCTGGTGACAGAGCATACTACCTATATATGATGGAGTGATCGACCATCGACCATATGACGGAATGGACGGGCGGTTGTCTTATAGGTCTACCGGCAGAGTCTCTGAAGGGATGCCAGACTGTCCACTGTCAGTATGTGGTGACAGGCACACCTTACCACCGGCCATGCACCGCCAGCCCCCTTGACGGGCCTACCTTCTAAAGCCCTAAACCCTCAACCGATGAGCCTTCCAGTCCGTCACCATTGCGCTCTCTCTCGGAGATCGGTCCGGCAGGGCTGCAGGGCTGCCCGGGCCGCGCGCTCTGAGCCACCGGTTCAGCTCGGCGATCGAAGCAGATTTAAACAGAAATAGCCACCGAGAAATACACTGCACGGAGTGAAACAGATCTCCCGCCACCTACCCACAGTGTATTGCTAATAATCTGATAACAGTACACGCTGCAAAGGTATACCGGCTATTGTGCAACATGCAATCTGCATAACACAAAG